GGTAAAAGGGGATAGTCCAACTAGTAAAGTCGGCGTTATCAGGATCGTCGAACTGGACACATTTGTTGATGTACGCATGTAGATCTTTGTGTGGACGTTCAGATGCACCAGCCAAAGCAGGAGAGTCTCTTGGCAACACTTTTAAGCAGATCGAATGGCGATCGCAGAAGTATCTGAAAGCCGAACCGACGAGTGAGGAATCTTGAGCAACCAACAGTATTTGTGGCCAGTCAGAGCTGTGGAACAGGACCTCAAGCTTCCGGATAACCTCAGAAGCTAACTTAGATTTGCATGTAGTGGCACGTAAGTAGTTGGTAGCCATATCTATCACAACCAGCCCGTAGTTCTGACCGTCGGGGTCTTCACTTGAAGGATTCGCGGATGTGGAGCCACTGGCTCCGCTACATACTCGGTAGGGACCGGTCATGTCAACAGCACATACACGGAGACAGCCAATAGCACCAGGCCAAGGAATAGATCCCATGGACTGACGTTGTACACGATCAGCTCGAGCAAACTGGCACCGTTCACAGGCATCTACATAGCGTCGGCACTCACGAGCGATACCATGCCAGAAGTAGCGTTGCTTGAGCAGCTTCAATGTACCGACTCGTCCGCGGTGTCCCACTGCATGCGCTTTAGCGATCAATTTCTTCTTCAACTCGTCGTTGTGGATCACCACTTGATGTCGAGGTGTAGTCTTCACATCGTCCACCGAGTCGACGTCTATACCCACGATACGAACGACTAAACCATTGGGTAGAACATCATAATATGGACTTGCTCGGAAGTCGTCGATCTTCGGATTGAATGACTGATCTTGGAGAAGTTCGTCGATCGTGACTTCGTCGTCAGCGTCGTCGCTTCCGGTGGAGTTCAACCCCACAAAAGTAAAGCCTTCCCCACATGTCAGTGCAGTTAATGGGGAACTACCCTGTGGGGTACCCTGGGGCGGCACCGGGAAGCAGAATGCTGGAGGAGATGTCAGTAGGCCTTCGGTGATGGTGGAGTGATGTAGAGGTGAGAGACATTCTCCAGGCTGAGGAGCTCGAGTTCCACGGTCGGCTGGATTGCATTCTCCACGAACATGTCGGATTGATATTTGTAAACCCTTGTTGGTCAGATCGTTGACAATATCTTCGATGATCTTGAGACGGCGTTGTTCGAAGCGTCCAAGCTTAGCCTTGGCCGACTCGTTCTTGCGAAGACGATGAAGATTGATGGCGCTGTCCGTGAGAATCATATACCGTGATGGTCTTGGAGGATTAAGTCGTAGTACCTGATCAATCTTCTCAGTAAGCTGGACGGCATTTGTGAGCGCGATGAGCTCCTTCTGGACAATGGTCTGTCGAGCTGCTTGATCCACCGGGAAGAGCGAGAAACGACCAAACAACCGAGTATGGGTCGGGGTTCCATCTCGTACGTCCACGCAGTAGGCTCCACCACTGGCATCACAGAACACGAAGATACTCGTAGACGTATCCACATAACGAAGAATAGGTTGTTGTAGGGAGAGTGTACAGATCCAGTTGGCCAAGGAGTTCCGGAAGTCTTCCGAACAGAGGGAGTCCCAGGCTACGTCATTGTTGCCAATCTCACGAGCCAAAAAGCGAGCGAATACCAGACCTTCGAAGAAGAGTCCTAAAGGGTCGTAATAGCGGTTGATGAAACCGATAGCATCACGCTTAGAGATGAGAGTAGGGATCGATGTGCATTCATCGGTTGTACCATATTGAAAAGAGATAGTATCGGACCCTATGTCGACCTTATACCCAAGTACTGATCGATAAGTCGCTGCCGGACACGGCGAGAAGTTGTTGAAGACCTTGGGGTCAGAGATGTCAGAGCCATGACGACGGAGTTTCCATTTCACGTACGCACCT